AGGAAGGACGGAGCAGCTTGTTGGGTCTCTCGGGGCAGCTCCCTCCGCGCCCCCGCCTAGTTTGCTTTTTAAAAAAAAGCGTTATTTATTATGATTTTTGTGAGGGAAGAAATAACTTATATTGGAGAGGTGATCGACTGGGAGAAGGTGGATTTTGTGGGGCTGGCCTAGATCTGTGTTGTAGGGCCAATGCAGGAATTAACCTAGGTGGGCTGTGGGGGGAGCAGGGAAACGGGTGCGGCCGCTGGAGGGGTGGTACTGGGGGAGAGGGGGGCGCCGATTTTGGCTTTGGAGGAAGTTTGGAGAAGCCTGTTGGGCAGTATTGGGCTCTGGGACATGTAGGATTGAGGGAAGCCCGTGTGAAGAATGTTGCTCCATGTAGAGAGACCTGCACCTGAGGGTACGCTTGGATGTGAAGAAATTACCTGGCCTGTAGGGCCAAACCTCGTGTGAAGCCATGCTGCACGGAAAGGGTTTCAGTGGGGTGAACGTGACCCTTCCAGGGTGGTGTCCTTTCAAGGGAATGAACGAGACTTGAGCTTGCGAAATGCGTTCTAGCAGTGGTCAGGGTACTGGACAGAAATGAAAACATAAGAATAGAGTGAAGTGCTCTGTATTTAACTGCTATAGATGCTTTCTTCCCTTAGATCAGAGTTGCTTTGTTGTTTTTTACCTTATGCTCATCCTTAGGCAGCAGAACTCTGATATTGAAAAGCGCTAAATATTCACAACTTCAAAGAATGTCCATATGAGGAGAGGATGCTTAGTACCACCAGAAAAAATGTGACTGAAGGTATTTCCTTGGCACTGAGATCCTTAGTATGCCTCCTTTCCAGATTGGTATGTTTGGGTTGCTGTTACACTTCTGCAGAAGGGAGAGAATACAACTTTCTGAATGCTATTTTCATCTGATGAATTAAGCAAACACTTGCTTATGAAACACTAGATTTAATATACCGCATAATGAAGAATATGAAACAGCAGTTTATAATGTAACCTTCTTTAGGCTGCTTTAAAAATTTGCCATTTGATCCAGTAATCGCCAAAGAAATTTCAAGACCTCCCTGTGCACAAAGGCTTTCAAAGAGAAGGGATGGAGAGAACACTTGCTGTACGTACTGGTGAGGGAGCAGGTTGCTTTACTTGCTTGCTTGCCTTGGAACAAATGGTTCCCCATAGTCAAAAAGAGCAGGGGTTTGAAAGGTGCTGTGCTGTTTGAATAAATACTTTTCTTGTTTCCCCCGCACACTCTATTTAAAGTATTGTTGAAAGAGGTCAGAAGGTCTTTTCTTTCAGGTATGCTGTTTTGAGTCAGAGTCTAGGCTCTTGACTATAGACTGCTGCGCTCTCAAGAGCTATTCACAGAAGAGAAATTAACTGCTGGATTAGAATATTTTAGTGGGAGTTAATGTATTATTGTATTAATACAGTAAATCCAGGAGGCTGATGATAGCCAAACAGTGACACTGATGAAATTTGGGTTTGGCTGCTGCTTTCTTTTTGTGGGTTGTATTGTTTACAGTGGCTCGCTTAAAACAAGGAAGTGTAAAAAACACCCATTCATTTAATTTTCAAAAAGGTTTAAATAAAATATGTGCTTTGTAATAATACTTGGAAATTAATAATGTTTAACATTGAGACTGACCTTATGATCGGAGTTGGAGGCTAGAAGGTGGGAAACCTGGCTCCTTTCCCCACCTTGTACAAAGATTTCCTGCAAGTAGTAAACTCGCTGAATAAAACTTGCTGAAATAAAACTCACTAAATGTCTTGAGTTTACTTGTCTGTATGATGAAAGGCTAAAATTAGCCTTAAAGTAAAGATACCCTTTTTAAGACTGTCAAATTAGTGTTTTCCACAGTCTGC